AAATTCATCAGTGTCCCAAATATATATACATATAATTTGGGACACTGGTGAATTTAGAAAAGAGAAATTTATAAAATGAAAAGTGGTACATGAATATAGAACGCTCAAACATCGCCAACAATGCAAAAAAAAAAAAGTATGCATGAGAAAATACTTTAATTTTTTTACTTTCTCCGATTTGCTAAAACAAAAATCTATTTTAATAGAATAATTATACAGAATACTTTTAAAACAAATGAAAAACTGACGAATAAAACTTATAAAATAGTGTTTCGATAACTACAAACTCGCAGATTCAACGTTTTTATCTTTTTCTGCAAATCATTTTTTGACCAATCACATATACTGTGGAATAAATATTTCAGAGTTTAATATCAATATTTTCTAAAATTTAAAAATTCACAGAATAAAAAGCTGAATATCTCAAAACATTTAATTTAATATTTTAATATTTTATAAATGTTAATATTTTTTTTGTTTGCGGATTTTAATTTTCACTTTTAACTGAACATTGTATATATAAAAAGTTTCTTGAAATTATAATAAAAGGACGAAGGATTTTTTAATAGAAACGAAATATTACTCAAAAGTTCTTGAAATTTATTTATTAAAAATCAAACACAAAATAAATTAATTAACTTTATCTCTTTCAAAGTAATCGCTTGCTGCATCGATGCATTGGTCCTAGAATGATTTTAATGTTTGGAAACACAATCTGTTGAAGGAGATGAAGTTTTAATTAATTTATTTTGTAAGTGTATGATTTCTAATAAATAAATTTCGGGAACGTCTGGGTAGTATCCTAAAAAAACATTTATAGATATAAATTTTCTGTTAGTTGACATCGGAAACAAAAATATAATTTGATAAATTAATTTTTTTATAACAGTTTTCCACAGAAATGTATGTATCAAGAAGAAAAAATTAAGCGAATACAATCGGAACGATATTTATTACAGAAAGATTACAAGATTATATTCAGGACTATAAACATTTTAGACGCGACCCACGTGTCGTAATTAGGACGCGGGAATTCTTCCCGTAAATCGTGAAAAATATTATTTACATTGCACATATATCACTAGCGTTTACTATCAGACGAACGGACAGTTGGTCGCTGAGACTCTCCGCGAAAGGCCGTTCCGAACGAAGAGATACAACCTCATCTTAGCACAATCGTTTTCCCCGACGCGTAAAGAAATGATTTTGAGGATTTCTAGCGCAAAAGTGGTCCCTTCGTCCGAGTTTTCATTTGTGTTCATCACTCGATTGATCAGATTATCGGGACCGTCAAATCAATTTTTATAAATCTCACGCTGAATTTCACCCTGCGTTTGTTCAATCTTAATAGATCATGGATTACTTAACGCACGCAACTTTTTAACGATAAAAGAACCGAAGGTGAGATACGATCTTATAAATAGGTGCCATTCTCTCTCGAAACATCTAGCTAAGAATTTGAAAATTTCCTCAAAAACTTACTTTATTTATATCTAATAGAGATCTATAAAAGTTATAGGATTTGCTCGAGGAGAATTTAACCCGCTAGTTCGGTTCTTCTAATCTTCCGTGTGAATATTTTCAGGATAATTTCGAGACGTATTGTTCGCAGACAATTCGTCGCGCTTCTGTCGCACGACAGTCGCATTTGAGGCACTCGCGCCGCGGAAAGTCGCTCAAGAGAAAAAGGTGGAAAGAAAATTCGAATAAAGGAATCATCGCTAAGGTAAGCGTCTAAACGTCATGAATGAATAGCAATAGCGATGAAGAGCGTCGAGACATCGTTAATACTCGTATAAATATAAAATGTATAAGACAAAAAATAGCCATTTGTTTTGTCTCGATTGGTCATCGAGAAATAGTTTTTCTAGTTTTATAGGCGACAATCGTCTATCGCGATCATACACGAACGGGCGCTTTATATTATAACCATCTTCGACGAACGTAAAAACTCGCAAATGTTTCTTTTCGCGAGTTTCTTTTTTCTTCGCTCTCTCCGCTTCCTGTCGTCTTTCCTTAAGTACCGAGTATAATATTAATAATTATGTCTACATTCAGCGTATATATATATATATATAATGTATGCGCCGTCTTTCTCGTTTCTCGGCGCTATCACCTTATGTCGCTGCTTACATTAATCACTATTTTCGTGTCGTTATAATAAAATACGTCAATATTTATATATGCTATATGCATACTTATATACGAGGTTCACGCGATCAAACTCTTAACGCCTACTGCAATGAAAAAAATATGTTTTACCTTTTAAAACACTTTTTTTTCTCAGCACTTTGGAGTCATCCTAAAGATTTATCGTTATTATATGCGCAATTTTGCTGAAAGAAACAACGAATTATTTAACACGATGTATCAAGTTATCTTATGTAAATGACTAATACTCAGCGATATTGATCAATTATTAATGAAATTTATGATCAATTATTAATTCATAACGTGTAGCCAGCCCAAGAGTTATATAATAGCTATTTTTTTTATTAATACCTTTTATTTATTTATTTAAATACCGACTGAAAGAAAAGCAATCGAAGTCGGACGTTGCGAATTCGAACTTTGTGGACGATTAAAGTGCTGCTTAATAGAAATTCCTTGTTCTCGATGCAGCATAGAATCAATTAGGCGATGAAAAAGACGAAGACAAATATGAATCATAAAGTACCGTATTACATTAATGGACGTTTACGAAACAAACAAACACAACGATAATATAACCTTTCGTTAATAATTGTAACATCAATTCCTTAAGATCGGAGAAAATTAATGAGAATTATACAGAAAATTGCAGTAAGACGATGTAAACGGTCTGACTATCGGTATCTGTAAAGCATCTGAAGCAGGAGATATATCACTCTCTACAGGGATAAAACGCGTACAAAAATTCTAGTCATATAAATAAGTCTATAAGCGCTTAACAGGACGATATCTTAAAATAGTTGTTATATAGTAATATAATAGAGCGCTGCGCGTTAACCCTTTTCTTTCCTTTAACGCGACATTATATATAGTATTATCAACAATGTGCAGTTCTTCAATAAAAAAAAAAAAAAAAAAAAAATAAAAAAAAATACACGAGATAATGCTAGTCTGAGAAATGATAGGAAATTATTAGTTTACAAAGTTATTCCTAAACATAAGAATAATCATACGAAACTCATGATATGCATTCGTACATGGCTGTACGAAATAATTTCTACATTCAAGTAGCGACGATTTTTACATTCGATAATAACGACAGACAGTAATAAAATTGCAAAACTCGCGAGTATTACGATCGGTTTTGTTTGCTTGTGAGAAAGAGACGTATCTATTCGAAACTTTCAAAATGGCTTTTTTCGAGACGCACGAACACTTTGCGCTGAAAATCGCGCTCCCGATCGACTCTCTTCGCATATAGCAATGATAAAACGCAATAAATTACAATTGAAACATACTTGGAGAATGTCCGGAGAAAACTCAGTCGCAAAGTCGAACGCGCTGTTTCAACTACCATCTTCTTATCCTTATCCACTCGATAATAGTTTTCTCTCTCTTTCTCTCCATGTGTGTCTATATGTATGCAGTGAGTATACAGAATACATCTATGCACCGTCAGAGAAGAAGAGATTTCAGGGCGAATACTATAGGTATTTGTTCGCGTTATCAGTCGCTTGTTTCCGGAACGGCAGCGTGTTTTCGCCACTAATTCTTCGAGACGGGGACAAATCGTGGGGTTTTTAGCGATTATTAGATCAGTTTAAATAATGCAATTATATGTGCGGGTTAGAGAAGATAATGTGATTGAGAGATTCTTTGGAAAAGTTTCGAGAGGACGAGTGGCTCGTAAACAGTAGACGGACTCATCGCGCTTCCTTCGCTGTCAGTTTCTCTATTAGCTCCTGAAGAGGAGCCAATTCCCTTCTCTCGATTAAATTAAATTCCTATGATGCAAAATTAAGCATTAAATATCAAAAATCAAATAATTAAAATTGATATCAATGATAATTTTTTTAAACTCATATTAAATAATTATTTTATATTTTAAAATTCCTTAGTATCTATATATCTAGCAATCATCATAAAATTTTATCATTATTTTTATCATAATTTTATCTTTTCTTGATATGTTGGTAAAATGATTACGTACCTGAACAAAGAATATGAAATGCTTGAACGATGTATTTAAATGCGCTTCTTCGCCGAGCTGCACGACCTCGCTAAAATGCTGATGATAGATATGAGCGTATACTCTAAATAACCGCTTCAGGATAGTCTTCGCAATCGATAAGAAATTTTTAGGGAAAGGAACTCCTGCGAAAAAAGTAGGAATTATTTTTCGGTTTGAAATAACAACGAAGTGACAACGAGACGTCATAAAGAAAATATAATCACCGATTTTGGACGGAAATAAAGTCTCGTCGTCCAATTGATCTTGCACCCAAGTCATTAGGTAGTCTATGTACTTGGGCGCCGAACATTTGATAGGCTTCTTCACCGTGTGACCGTCTGCCCAGTGATACTCATATTTTGGTCCCGCCGACATAATAGGACAGCTTTCCTCCGTGCAGAATTCCGTGATAGTGCCATACAGCATATTGATTTGATTAAAGAAATCAACAGCTGTGAAAAAAAGATGGAGTCAAGTTTAAATCTAGTTGAATAATTTAAATATAAAACGGACTTACTGTTAACAGCCACCCATTCGTTCAGATCCTCTCCTTCAGGAAGCATAACGGCCAATCGCAAATTACCGGAGCCTAATGTGGCAGCGGCATGTTTCATCAAATCGTACTGATGAGTACCCTCTGGGATATTCTTCTTTGGTTTAAAGGTCTTGGAGGACCTGCTCCCACTTAAGAGATAAAAAATAAGAGAATAGATTAGAAGATTGTTATATATGTGACTTCCGTTTGCTATTATTGCAGATTTGAAATTATTTCCTTAACATCTTGAATCAATATTTATACTATTATATGTATAAAATAACACTTAATCACATATCTATACTTCAAAATCTCGAGTATGAAACAAAAAAAAGATAGAAATATAAGCTGTTTGTTTCATAGATAAATCAATGGCAATCAGTTATGAATCGACTTATTTGTATTATCGATAAGATTGAAATATGGCAAATATCGAGAGTTCAATAAAAATTTAAAGATGAATAAATATAAATAATTCTAATTTACTTTGATTTATCAAAAATATTGTCTTAATAATTTCAATTTACTAGAAATTACATTTTGTTAATAATAATAGTAATAAATACAAGTTTTATTTAGCCATATTTCTCTCCTGAAATTTTTCCTTGAGAAATCTAAACTAAAAGTAGTAACAGAAAAAGGAAACTTAACTATGTATGGATGAAGAAAATTATTAAAATAAGAAAACTAAAGAAACATGAAGAATTTTTACTAATAATAGTAATAGTAAATAATAATAGTAATAATAAAATAATAGTAATAATAAAAATAATAATAGTAGAATAATTACATGTAAAAATGAATAAGTTATTAAAATATTAAAGAGTAAAACTGAATCTAATTATTAGACAAATTAAGTGGGTTAAAACTTATATAATTTTAAACAGGAGTGTTATATTTTTAATAAGAATATTGTATTATATTATTGAAATTGTAATTCTATCACAAAATAAATATCTATATAAATTAAAAAGATATTTCTTCAAGACATTAAAATCCAAATATAACAAATGTTCATTTAATGTTCATTTAAATTTTTTGTATTAAAACATTCAGTCTTTAAATGTTTTATTCTTTACATTAAATTTCTTATGCCTGTTTATTGTGTCTAAATCCATATTTTCATACATTCAATTTTGCAAATTTTTCCTCTCTTCTTTCTACTCCAAAACTTACATTGTATTACAAACAACAATACCAAATGAAAAACATTCATTTATATACAAATCTCTCTCTCCCTCTCTCTCTCTTTCTTATGCCTTTTTCTGTTTAGTTACATCTTTCTATATTTCCTGTCTCGAATCGCCTTTTTTCTCCGCGGAGAAGCCTAAATATACTCTTGGTTTCACACGTGAAAAGCTAAGTAAAGGAAAGCGAAGCTGAGGGGAGAAAAAAGGAAAAAACAGAAACACGCTCGACCGCGAGGCGCGACGCTCAGCTGATCGCGCGCACGCAGAAAGTGAGCGTTATTTGTCGTGAATGTCAAAAGTGGACGGCGAGCACCGGCGCGAGGTCGAGGCTCTCGATGACGAGCGACCAAGGCGCGGCCGTCGGGCCGGATGATTCATAGATTATGCGCCGCGTCGAGCGATAATCCTGACGTTCGATGAACATGGTGGTCCCGCGGGAAGACTTGCACAAAAGGAAGATAGCCTCCCGCACGATAGGCGCGCTATTTTTACCCTCGATCGATCCACCGGCGGATGGCGTCGACTCACCCTCGTCGAACTCATCGTGGAGAACGATAAATTTAATCCTTAGATTAGATATAAACAACGGGAAGAAAGAGAGAGAGAAAGAAAGAGAGAGAAAGAGCGCGCGAGAGAAAAAAAACATATCCTGAAAATGAAGCCGAGAAATGAATATTTAAATTGAAAAAGAAAGGAGAGAGAGGAAAAAACATGTCGAGTCACATCAGCTGTCGTGATCTTGGTCTTGTCCTCGCGCTTTCTGCAAGGACGTATCGATCGGACGAGGGCGATGATTCCATTTTATTCTACTCGACTTGACGCCGACGACGATTGGGGAGGAGAAAGTCGCGGTGGCGAAGAGGAGGACTCACAATAGGAAGCTCATCGTGGCTGTGGCTGGGTCACTCCGCTCGTTGTGGGCCCGCTCTCGCCCGTTCCGCTCGGTCGCGTGGTCCGCTGCGTGCGTCCTCGCTCGACCAGAAGCACAGTGGTAGTCGAGAGACGCGACAAACAACGACGACACACCGAGAACGTGTCAACCTGTCGGCCGCCGCACTCCCGCGCGCGGTCGCGATCGCCTCCTCGCGGTGCTACGCGCTCTCTCTGTCCCTTGAACGCAGATGTACCGGGGAGACGAGTCGCCGTCGCGCAACCCAAACCATCCGCTGCGTCGTCGTCCGTCCACTAAAAGTCCAATTTCTCTCGTACTCCTTTATCTCCCTCTCTGTCTCTCTCGAGCTGCGGGACGGCGCTTTGTCCGTTTGACAAGAGTCACGGCAGCACGGTTCAGGATTCTCAATGATCGACTACTGCAACGACGAATCGGACATTAGGTGCGTTTCAGCAGACTCAACTGTTGTACGACTGTCGAGTAATTAGCCAATGTAATTGGTCTAAATTTAGGGATCTAATGGAAATGACCGTAATCATTGACCACTCACTGGTCGCTCATTTTGCTGAAAATGCACATAAAGCCAGCGGCACACGATACTTTTTTCCTGCTGGACTGGGATTCTGTACATGTCCACCGACAACTGTCGGTGTCATTAACTAACGACAGCCAATGACAGCCGTGCTTTTTTCCAAGATCGTCCTTGCCATTGGCTGTTGTTAGTTAACGATACCGATAGTTGTCGGTAAGCGAGTACAGAATTCCGATTCTGGTTTGCTAGCTGGATTTGCGTGCTTGCTGACTTCTTGTCTTTGATTTTTAGATTTAAAAAATATACCAATCGAAGACAAGAGCTCAGCAAGCACGCAAATCCAGCTAGCAAATCAGCAGGAAAAAAAGCATCGTATGCCGTTGGCTTTAGAATGTAGTTATCTTAATGATACAAAATATTTCATAACTGATTGATAAAATTCATTGTTCTGATTGATCAATTAAACGTTTCATTTGCAATAAGATTTTGATCGCATCTTAAAGGCCATCAGACTACGAGTTGCCGGTTGGCGATTCTATTTCAGCCAATTATAATGTAACAGGTCCTAGTTACGGTCAATGATTGGCTGAAATATAATCTTCCAGCAACCCGTAATCTGATACAGCCTTAAATAAATCGTAAATTTTTAACTGTCTGATACGGGTGAGACGTAATCGAACACATTGCTGATTAGTGGTTAAATAACAGATCTTTTGATAAATGGCTCACTAGAAAATTTCTAGACGTCGGCCGATATGAGTGGTGTGTCCGATTGAAAATATGCGCATCTGGAACATTCACTTTGAAACAGGCTTGAATCTATGAAAACGTAGCCTGCGTATTGACTGTCTCGCAGTATCAAACACGCCATCGCCGCGAGCCATTTTGTTCACGAATCTGCGAGGGTGTTCGTTTCTCGCGCGTAGGACGTAGGACGTAGGACGTAGGACTCGAATTCCGAGACCGAATCGTGAATATTTCCGGCACGTTAACGACTGACTGGGTTTCTTTCAACTGTTTGAGAACAGAAATAGTGGATGTTTCAACGTTACGATAGTGGTAAGTCAAAGGACACGAGGCTCGGAATCGCGAACTTACGATGCTGTCGCGTCCCATGACGGCGTGCCCCGCCAGCGATTCTCCCCCATAAAAAAAAAGAATTTTCCTCTCCGCCTTAATTTTCATTGTCTATCTCGTTCATTGCTTATCTGCGATCTTTGCCAACGCGATTTCACAAAGTCGGTTAAATGATTGAAATTGTGTCGATTAAATAACTGACGTGATGATTGTCCGCCAATCAACCAAATGATGACCATGCGACCGAGAATTTTTGCTCTATTTTCTTAAATTTCGTCTTGTTTTCTTTCATCTATATTCATTATATAAACAAAAACCTCAAGATCGTCAGAGATGGTTCTCTCGACGACGATATCCGAGCTTTTGTTTTTATCTTCTTTTTTTTTTATTGTATTTGTTTACATGCGATCGGTGTATGTCTATTGCGAGGGACACAATTTCCAAAATATCGACGTGAACGCGTTATTTCGATAATATTACAGAAATTCAACCGTTATTTACTGATTGTTTACTGATATCTAATATTTCTGACTTTTATTTTTGTTGTATGATTATCACGTTGCTTTTTGTCATATTATATCCAACTGGTTGCTAGGTGTTTCATCCTTGTAAATATTGTCTGGAACAAGATTGCATCAGACTAGAACCATGTCGAGCGGCAGTGGAGATCATGAAGAGGAAGGATATGTTGTCAAAGTGCGTGGACTGCCATGGTCTACGACTGTTGATGAGATCATGAAGTTTTTTGGTGACTGTTCGATCTCTAATGGCAAAAATGGAGTTCATATGACTACGTCCCGGGAGGGCCGGCCTAGTGGCGAGGCCTACGTAGAAATGGATACTCCAGAAGATATCGAGAAAGCTTGTAAGAGAGACAGGGATCACATGGGACACCGCTATATTGAAGGTTGATCTTTATATCAATTTCTTTATATTTTTAGTAATTTTGTATGGTTCTTTTTCTATCACTTTTTTATCTTTTTATGGATGTTTCTAAGATATTAAAATTAGATATAATTATAAAGTAGATTTTTATTTCCATTTATTTTTTTTATTTCTATATTTTTAATTCTATAATTTTTTTTTTAAATGTTACATATTAATAAAATATATATTACATGTTTCTAAAGTTTGTTAGAATTATGTATTATTTTAGTTTTTAAAGCAAAGCGTGGAGAGATGGAATGGGTTGTGAAGAGGAGTGGTCTTAACTTGGAAAATGCAATGGATGACGGTTGTGTCAGATTGCGCGGTCTGCCATTTGGCTGTTCAAAAGAAGAGATTGCGCAATTCTTCTCAGGTACTTAGCATAGGACAGTATTCAATATCAATGATTTTTAATTGATATTGAAATTTTATTTGATCCTTAAAAAACAGACACCCGTTCATCTTTTTGAGATATGTAGCTTTCTTTCTATTTTTGTATTTCCTTTTTCATGAGATTAAAGTAAATAGACAAAATTCTATAATTATCTCAGGAACACAGCGACGAAATACTTTTGATGGCTTTAATACAGAATTGCTAAAATTACCATTTTGATATCTTGATGAATTACAATTGCTTGAATAATGTTATATGCTTATTTTAAAATAGTGTACTAACAAAATAATTGATCATGCGCGTGTATCTCGAATAGTCAAATTCAAGTCCCATCTAGAGCGATGTCTCTGTGTTCTAGCATCGACGATTAACCTCAGTTAAGATTTAAGATCTTGCTAAGATCCGAGTTGTGTCGTACAATGTGAGCATGTGGTTGTGAATTTATGATTTTATGATTTATACAAACAGAACGAAAAAACTTTCATAGCGCGACTCGGTGATCGAACTTAATTCTTAACTTTGGTTTTCGGACGTGGCAATTTAACGTTCTATGTCTATATAAGGAGAATCACGAAGAGAAAGAGGAAAGAAAAAATAAAGAGCGCACGTCTATGCGCAATCATTTTAGAGTCTTAACAGTTGCTTCTCTTGTAAGGGTTTTAATAAATTTGATCACATAACTTCTTTTTCCTAATGGGTGTCTTTAAGCTACAATGTCGATGTTTGATTATGTGTGGGTCAGGGTTGGAGATATTGCCGAACGGGATTTCACTACCTACAGACTACACGGGCCGCAGTACTGGGGAGGCTTACGTTCAATTTGTTAACAAAGATGTTGCGGAGCGCGCTCTGCAGAAACACAAGGAAAAGATAGGACACAGGTGGGGCACTGAGCCGCTATAGCTGGGTTTGGGTATACTTATGACTTTTCCATATCATTTATATTAATGATCGTAGTACATGTAGGTATATACATTTCGTTTAGTAAATAGTGGGAACGAATTTTACGATTTTTATGGATGCAGCTTCTTTATCTGAATTTTCACCGAAGAGGATTTTTCGCGGAAAAAGGAAATGGAGAAAATTATTGTCATTAAACTATACAACGTGTATGTTTCCTCATTTTGAAAGTTTTTAATATAAACTTCGAGTTTCCGCATTTTATTGTGTTGAGATAATTCTTTAATAAGTCGCGGATTTTTAAAGCCAAAAGACGTTTTTTGGAAGAACATTGCCTCTAAAGGATTTTTTCTTATTCTAACATAAAGAAACTGCCTCTCTCAAAACACAATTACAACCAGATAGTCGTACGTAAGCGAAAGTACTGTGGACCCAACTACTTATATCCGTGGGTGGGTGCTGGGGGGCGGGAGGTAGCCCCTTACCATCATCACCAAATCCCATGGGAGGTGGGTAGGGCAAGCCAAAGCTCGGTGGGCGCTACAGAGAGAGAAAGAGAGAGGGAGACAGATAGTAACCATCGATCCAATACAGCACGTCTATGCAATGCACATAATTGCATTTTTTTTGCAGATGAACATTAAGTGATCTTATGATCAAAGCGTCTTGTAAATATCTTGCTATAGACAATTTTTATATATATATACTAAATTGATAATTTACAAATTTTCATAGTCGATAGAAATGTTCATTTGCAAAAGGTGCAATTATGAGCCTACTCGAAGATCGTCGGCATCAACTCGGGGGCTACTGTGGGGTACGTGTGACATAGGTACGTCGGAAAGCAATTTCGCCGTGGGAGGGTCTCTTCTCAGGTTTAATAAAAAAATTCGGAGGTTTAGTATGAACACATTGTTCTGTTCACACTTGTAAACTCAACTTCAATACCAGATTCACGAGTTCCTCTTATTTTTTTTTATTGTAAACGTCAGATAGTAAATAATTAATCTTTAGCATACTGTTATGTAAGAATGGTTCCTTTTCTCCAGTTTTCTGTTTCTAGAGTCTCCGTGTATCATTGTTTTCGTTTTTTCTTTTTTTGTCTCACCATTTGTGATTTCTTGAATTAAGTATTTATCGTTAAGTATTGTGTCGAGTTTTTGATTTGGTGACAATGTATGGTGAGAGTAATGATAATAATAATAATAATAATAATGATGATGATGATGATGATGATGATGACAGTATTTATTTGCTAGACACATCGCTCTGCGGACGCCTTTAACGCATATATCTTCAATCATTAACAGATATATCGAGATCTTCCGAAGCAGCTTATCCGAGGTACGTGCTAGCATCGGGCCTAAAATGCGCGGCGGTCCCATGGGCGGCTTCAATCAGAGGCCCGCGCCGTACACTCGTGGTGATCGCTTCGGTGGGATGAATCGATTTAGCAACAACGGCAGAGGATCCAGAAATAGAGGTGATTCCTTTCATCTATCGAAGTACGAAGGCTATCGTGCAGGAGAATACCGTAATAGAGACTTATTATACAATTCACGTACTAATTCAATACGTATGTATTTATATGACTACAATCTACCTTCTTAGATCTCGTTAATCTACTCTCGGTTTTATTGGAGATTTTGTAATATACTTTAGACTTCGATAACGGTCCATGGGGAAGCGGAAATAATTACGGATCACGGGGCGGCAATATGGGAATGCGTGGCAGTATGGACATGAAGGGTGGCAATTATAGAGGCAACAATGACTCCTGGGGTGGTAATTCTGGCGTATATAGCATCCACATGCGAGGACTGCCGTTCAAGGCAACAGAACAAGACATAGCTGATGTAATTCTTATGACTAATAATAACGATAAATTTGTGAACTTTGAGAAATTTTTTGATGTTCGATTTGTAATATTTCGAATCTTATTTTATAGTTTTTTAGACCAATTGAACCAGTGAATGTCCGTATTATCCTTGAGAATGGCGGTCGTCCATCGGGAGAAGCTGACGTAGAGTTTGCGACTCATGAAGAAGCTCTAAAGGCCATGTGCAAAGTTCGTATTTCTTTTATTTTGTTTTTTAAATTAAGATTTGACTTTAGAAACTAAAAATGATTTTTAACTTCCATTTTAGGATAAGAGTCATATGTCGCACAGATACATTGAGCTGTTTATGAACTCATCTGGTGGATCGAGTAGCATGTCATTAAGTGGCATTGGTAATTTCTGTGGAGGTAAAATTGTTGGATTATAATACAAAAACTTTTGGAAAAACACGAAAGCGTTTCAAAAAGCGTGTCAAATGAAATAATCTTATAAACTATATTGTAAAAATATTATTTTCGTTACATTACGTAATTCGCAAAACAAATTTAATTTATGATTTGATCACAATGTTGAAAATTATAATAAGGCAATTATTCAACGATTTACATTAATTTATATCAAAATTTATATATAATCATGTATAATTATATATATATATATATATAAATACACTTATACATAATTGTATATAAATTTCATAATATATATATAATTATATAATTTATATCATATATAAAATCACATATTTGATATATTTGATATATTGATATGATACATGCATATGTTTCTTTGTATACAGGTTTAGGTAACAATTTTAGGCCAGGATATTCACCGAACAACAGAGGTTTTAATTCACAGTTAGGTGGCAGCAATTACAATAGTTTTTGAGATCGGGCGATGCGTTTCTAACGCTAAACAATGATTTATAAATGTCCGAAGAATCAAAGTAATCGGTGATAAAGAAAACACATTTCTAAATCGCACTGATGCAATATGAATAGTTTATTTTTTTTTCTTTTTTCTTTATATAGTCATGAATTATATATTAAATATTAATCATAAACCAAATCGATAGCGTGTAAGAACTTGATTATTCTTTTCTTTTATAATTTATAAAATATGTGATCTACATAGAATATGTAATTTAATTATCATGAGTCTAAAGATAGAAAGATGATAATTTCCTCTTTGTTATCTTAAACTTGTAATGATAATTCCTTTTTTTTCCTTTGAACTGAGCGCAATGTCAGACAATCGTACGTCCTTGCGATAAAAAAGCAAATTTCTTAGAGTATTAACAATAAAAGTATCAAGCAGTCATTTTGAATCGTTTCTATCTTTTTTAAATTAATAATTTTTTTTAATATCAAAAAAATAAGATTTAAAAATTTTCTAATTTTAATCAAAATAAATATAATTGATGAAAAAAATTCTAAAATTTTGTTTAATTTGGAATATTCTAAAAGTTCTTAGAAATCAGAATTGACTGCTCAGTACTTTTAATGTTAAAGGACTAAGTTAGGTAATATATTAAATTAACATCCCATTTAAATTATTAAAGATAAAGAAGTTAGTTTTAGTTGAATGCTATTAGATTAAATACTAACGAAGATGTTTCTTGTTTTCCATGGTGACATACACGATATCTTCTGATCTAATATCAAATGATTAGAATTATAATTTTGTATATGATACACAAGTGTATTACATGTTCTAATGGCTTTGATGCGAGCTTAGACATGATAATTGTCAATATGCGTCGAAATGTAATGACGAGTTGTAAAGCGCAAAATACACGATTGTAATATATACGAACTGACTCACAATCGCACCGCAACGCAAGCACAGATTAATTATACTGTCTTATTATTGTAATATGCAGGATTCTAAGTCAGAAAGCCATTCACATTCATCTTCTCATCATAATGTACTATATGACGTATCGTATAATCTTGGAATAAGAATTCTAGTTTTCATCGATATAGGTGTTACGAACCATATAAGCAGACGCCATAGCTGGCAAGTGTCAATGTTGTGTATATCTTAACACATAAGCCTAGTTTCGGTTTATATTCTGAGATATTTGAATAAAAAAATGGAATACGAGGAAGAAGTATGTAAGATCACATGCAATTCCTTAGACCGAAACAATACGAACGTGAATAAGTTAGATCTATCATCTATGTTAATATACAGTTATGAGCGAAATTGTGCTAATTCTGTGAATCTAACTTGCTTATATTTGTATTGTTGCATACTCTTGGTCTGTGTAATATATTCTTAAAATAAAACTCTCGTCCAAGATCCTGTAGATTGAAAATCCGGAGGAAAATCCAATTATTGAAACCAATTGAAAATCCAATCAACGCTTCACATACATAGTATATATCGAAGAATCAATATTTTGTTCATGAAAGAAATTATTTAATGCTTCATGTCATTCAATCTTACATCCTTGAATTGTTTACAATCAATTTTTTAAGAATTTACGTACAAATATCAAAAATATTAAAGTAACTGGAATTTTCTATTCTATGTATATATAAGTTATACAAGGACATCAAATGATTAAAAAGACATAGATTAAAGACGATATAGATTAAACCATCTTTTTCTGTCAGTTAAACTCTATCTTTCTCTAATTTTTCTATAAGATAGAAAAAATAATGTCAAGAGATCAAAATTAATCTACATTGGTACAATGGAAATGTGATAAAGAAATAATTAACATCTTTTTAGACACCCTATATACTCTATAGCCAGCAACTCAGCACATTCGCATACAGATTTCTCATCACGCCCAGTTATTTCATTGAATAAACAATGCACGCAGGGTTCATCCGTATTTGCAAACGATAGCTCTGGAAAGGAAACTGACAGAGAACCAAACTAGAATTCCAAATATGACGATGTCCGCCCACGCTTTTCCAAGAGACAAAGGCAAACAGTAACATCGATAGAGGCATTCCGTATGTGAAGTGCTCCTCAAGCAGATTGACCTCGATTCACGCTGTCAACTGCGAAAAAAGAAACCGGTAAGAAATTTCAGTAGTTTTTACTTTTGGTACTATAAACACAAGGCGAGAGTACCTGCTTCGATCTATCAAAGAGAAGAAGAGACAGGCATAAGGTTTATTTTTCGGCTTGAATTTCAGCATCATATGAATAATACCATTGTATCGTTGCTTTCAACAGGTGTCAAATCTCTCTCGATACAAGAAGGTGCATCGGTGTGCATGCCATGTGCATGGCACGTCAGTGTGTGCTCCCTCCCTTCATTCCTATCCTGGCCGCACATGTGAACGGAAATTCAAAAAATACGCACCTCATTAATGATGTTGAAAGATTAGGCCTCGCTCTTATCAGTATCACGCCGATATAACCGATTACGATCTCGAGTGTGAATGTTGGTGCTGTATCTCCTGACTGCAAGGTAAGTAAAAAAAGTATAAAAAAAAAGCAGTATAACAGACGGAACAACGTAGGATGTTGTTTATTTATGTCACGTCATTGAAGATATTTGTGCGAATTGTGTAGAGATTGGAATGTCGTTTCCGGGCGTTTCATATTGGGTGTTTCTCAATGTGTATTAATTTTAGCGTTTTGATATCTATGCTTTAAGTTTCTTACCGATCGTATCTGTGTATATTTATGTGTAATATTTCCTACTCTGTATTTGCATTTCATTGCAACTCTATGTAATTTGCATTTCATTGCAAGTTGCGACGCAAGTCTTTATCTCTTTCTCGTTCCTGGAGCTGTAATTGTGATGTGAAATATAAATTCCAGGCTCTTCAAGTGATATTGATGCGTTTGCTGGAACGTGAGCAATCGAAAAACAGTAAAGGATGGGTCAGACCACAGAGGGGAACAATAGTAATAATGACAAACGAATTGAAAGTAATATACAGCATAGGCCTGATGAAGGGTATTATTCGATATAAATTATCTTTCCTTGAGAAAAATAATGTCAACAAAGTACTTAGATTTAATTATCTGAATTAATTTAAGAGATATCATAATTGTTTCATTCTTTGTTTGTCAGAGCTTTGGAACTTGATAAGCAACAGCAATCTCTCTTGCCAAAACCAAGTAGCAGTACGATAAGACACGTTAGAGAATATATTCCAAAATCTGGAGTGAAGAAGTATAATCATGCCTTGAGTAATTTGATACCAATACGTTACCAAAAGCAGTATGTATCATGTCTCAAAATATTTTTTATAGTAGTTTAATATATATTTAGTAAACTGTATTGTTATATGAAGTATATTTTATATATAATGATATATGAGCATCTTAGTGATGAAAATATATTTATATACAGAAAAAAAGAAAATTCACCAGCAGATAATGCTGGGTTATTTTCTTATGTATATATAACATGGATGACGCCATATTTATGGAAAGCATATAAAAAAGGTCTTACAATCAAAGATCTGCCAGACATTTCAGTATATGATACTTGTGAATACAATGCGCTCAGGTAAACTTAATACATTGCATCTCTTATGAATATAGTTAAAAAATATAAATAAGAATTGTCTGTTTAGGCTCGATGTACTCTGGCAACAGGAATTAAGCAAAAATGGTCCCAATGCAGCATCATTCTCTTCGGTTGCATGGAGATTTGTTCGCACTCGAGTCTGCGTATCGTGTTTTTTACTGAGCTGTTCTCTTATCTTTGGATTTATAAGTCCTGTAAGATTATCTTGATTGACGGTAAAGTGTGTTATTAAGTTAAATTAGTATTTTTGCATTATAATACAGTTTTCTTTTACACAGACAATATTAATGAGGAAGATACTGGAGCATATAGAGTCTCCAGAAGAAAGTTTTTGGGATGGCTTTAAATGGGTTTTTCTACTGACGATGTGTGATTCTTTGCGAGCTTTTTTTTTCACTTGGACGTGGAATATGAATTATAAGACTGGATTGCGACTGAAGTCAGCTTGTACAGCTCTATTGTATAAAAAATTATAAGACTAAACAGTCTTAGCAATAGAAGTACAGGAGAAGTGAGATATTTTCAATTTGCTTAAACGTAAAGAAAATTCAATTATCGTATGACATGTAATTTTTATTTTTAGATAATCAATTTATTTTGCAACGATAGTCAAAGACTCTTTGATGTGATTATTTATGGACCGATGATCATCAGCGGACCAATAGTTATAAGTTGCGGTATCATTTACATATTATGGTTATTCACTCCTGTTGCTCTGATAGGAATGATAGCTTTCCTCTCATTTTATCCATGTCAGGTAAATAACTAATTGTATTTTATATGTACGTTTGTATATTTTGATAACCAAGACAGCATTTATGTTTTAGTACTTCATCTCTCGTGCGACTGGCTATTTTCGATCGAAATCTGTAAACATTACGGATACTCGGGTGCGACTCATGACTGAAATTCTGGAATGCATAAAGTTGATCAAGATGTATTCTTGGGAAAAATATTTTGGTCAAAAACTTCTCGGTGAGAATAATAAAAAATTAAATAATTTTGTATAAATAGAAGAATGATCGAAAATAATATCATTAATGATATCATTTTTAATCGTTTTCATTCCAATATATACATTTTTTTTAATTGAACATATTTTTTGTGAAATTGATATGTTTGTAGCCATACGAAAGAAGGAGGAACGTTGGCTTCATAAGACTGCATACTTTCAAAGCCTTAGCATTTCTTTAACACCTGCAATACCTGTGATATCCGCGATTATTACTTTTTTAGCACATGTTGCTTCGGGCAGTGGATTAACTGCTGCACAGGTATGAAATACAATCTATCAATATTTCTGATTTTTAAATATATATATTTTATACATATAACAATATATATTATAAATATATACATTTTATCCTAATTTTATGCGTATCAGGAGAAATCGAATAACATTCAATAGGTAAGCAGATGATAAATCTTATTTTTATGAATAATTTTAGCAACTTTCATCATTTGTGATCCTAGTTACGAGATAATTCTTTTCTGGATTTCACAAGCAATGGATTATATATTACAGGCTTTTCCAATGACCACATTATTTGGAAATTTGCTTAGACTGGCGCTCACGTCACTTAAGGATACCACGCGATATTTTATCAGCGCTCTCATAGCTCTTAGAAGATTCAAGGTCTCCGGTGTTTTTTGAGCGATTTCATGTACAGCTTAATGGGTCGGATATCTGTATCTATTATTGGGAAGCCAGTACTCGTGTTCAATCATTTTCAACATTATCTTTGAAATTTATTCAAATCGATTAAAAATATTTGATCATTGTAATAAAATTTTGATAGAATAATTTTTATAAAAAAAGAAGATTAATTTGAGAAAAAAATAGCACGGGCACTATTTCTATAATAATACGTACATGAGATCAATGTAAAAAGCTTTCTAGTAAAACGAGAGTGTGATGGGCGGACATTGCATGCCTTGTAAAGCACCCTGTTACATTTGAACAGCTGTCGTTAGCAATTCCTTTGGTACACTGAATACTCGAATTGCCAGCTGTAAATATCGAGTTGGGGGCATGATGTTCCCACGCTTATGCGTAGTACGATTGTACTAACAATGTCGTTTTAATTCTACACTTTCAGGTATTTCCCTTCGTATCGGTGCTCAATGCTCAAATTCGCACTTCTTTCATGTTTTTACAAGTGGCCTTAATTAATATCGCCGCAGTAAAGATAACTTTTGGCAGAATAAAGGTGTTTATTCTTATTTATATCTAATAGGAATGCACAATCGACCGCATCATGTGCTGTATCATAAAAATTTCTGAACAATTTAACATATTCATTTTTTTTCGATATATAACCGAATAATAGTCGATTTTACATTTCGCTAACAAATTCTTGTCCATCCAACTTGTGTATTCAGCATTTGTATGTTGAAATTATAATTTCGCACTGTTGCTTCGCTTATATTTGTATCACGTGAAAATTATGCGAACTTATGAGCTCAAAAAAAACAAATATACTGCTACATAAATTTGTATTTGTAGTTTAAGAGACTCATTTTTCCGGATATTTTACATTAATATCACCGACATACTACATATCTTTATCTTATTTCTTTATTAAGCTACATTTTTATTCATTAATGTTTGTTATTTTAATGCGCTTTTAACAACAGCTTTATATTTCTTCCAAAATCTAATAATATCCATTAACATAACGATATCTACACAGAATATACTATTGTTGGATGAGGACAGTTGCCAGGCATCAAAACCGATTGTAAGATCGGAAGCAGTTGCCATCGCTAACGGTACCTTTGTCTGTGACAGTATGAGGCTTCAAATGGACGCATCGATCAATATAAAAAAAAGTAACTATTTCTTTTATAATAACAATTTCTTTTGTGGATCACAATGACCTTTCTGTCTTTTACGTAGAAAGAAATCTCCACCAGTTATGGATAATCCAGCAGAACTGGAAAATCTGAATCAACCGACACAGGAGGCTAAATATGTTGAAGTTATTAGCGACATACATTTCGGAGCACCCAAAGGAAAACTAGTTGGCATCTGCGGTCATGTAGGTAGCGGCAAATCCAGCCTGCTGCTTGCAGCTCTGGGACAGCTGAAAATAACGAAGGGGCATATTTCGAGAGAAGGTACTTGTGCCTACGTCAGTCAACAAGCGTGGGTCGTAAATGGCACTTTCAAAGAAAACATTCTGTTCGGCGAGGATTTCGATGCAAAACGTTACTATCATACGATTATGATCTGCAATTTGAAGGAAGATTTGAACATGCTGCCAGGAGGAGATGACACTGAGATCGGTGAGAGAGGCATCAATCTATCCGGAGGACAGAAACAAAGGATTGCACTCGCGCGAGCATATTATGCCAATCGGTGCGTTAGGTCTTTCTGTTTGTAGCTGTTGTAACTATTTCTTATTTAACAAGCGTGTTACTGAATATTGTAATTGTATTTATCGTTTCAGGGACATTTACTTCCTCGATGATCCCTTAAGTGCAGTTGACGCGTACGTCGGCGAGTATATATTTGAGAAATTGATCCTCGAGGCTCTTAGAGACAAATCTGTTCTTTTCGTGACACATAACATTCAAGTGAGTATTTACAAAATTGAAATTAATCTCGAGATATTTATTATAGTGTCTTACAAAATCTATAGAAATCTTTTTCGTATATTTTTTAGAAAATAAGAAAGATTTAACAAAAATGGAAAAAATTAACAACGTGACTTGGAAAATTGATTCGAATTTTGAAATACTCTAAATTTGTTTGTTACAGTTCTTAAAACGATGCCATGAAATTTACATGATGAATGCTGGTAAGATCGTAGAGCATGGAACTCACGAAGATCTCATGCGACTCGATCGAGAATACGCCTCGATGGTGAAGAATAGTATAATTGTAGCGGAGGACAATAATTTGTCAGCGTATGTTTAATATGTCACACATATTTATGGAATTATTCGAAAACAATTTAGTAAATGTTTACTTTTTTACAGTGTTAAATCTACGGGAGTGACACAGAAAAGTACGAATGCTGACGATTTACAGAAGGAAATTACACACAAAAAAATGAGAAGGAGAAATTATACAAAGGTGCGATTTGATTACATAATATTAATTTATAATTTAGAGATTTCTAACACTTCTACTTTGAAATTTAGGGACAATTTTAACAATAGCAGAAAAATCTGAAACCGGATCCGTGAAATCTTATACTTATCACACTTACATACAAGCCACAGGTGGTTATCTAGTTGCTGTTCTCGTATTTTTCACGTTCTTTTTGAACGTAGGTAGTTCAGCCTTTAGTACTTGGTGGCTCGCTATATGGATTAAAGCTGGCGGAGGCGTAAGTAACCAAGTGTATTGGTTGTAATCATTCACTATTTATTTACACATTTTATTATATATTTAAATGTTTTTATTTCTTATTTTTTAGCTTATTTATTAATATTGGGGATTATTATTGTAAACATATCAATTTCTGATTTCATTTTTAGAACGTGACTGTGCCAGAAAGTAACGGGACTGTGTACTCAGAAAACATAAATGCTAATCCTCACTTCTCATTTTATCGAGATATATATGGAGCTTGTATCGCCGGTATACTATTGACAAGTTTTATTCGTGGTTTAGTCATTATGTTTACTACGATAAAAGCTTCAACTACGTTGCACAATTCGTTCTTTCGCAAAATTATTAGTTCTCCGTTACAGTTTTTTGATACTACTCCAAGTGGTAGAATACAGAACATTTTCAGCCGAGACATAGATGAAAGTGAGTGAATTCTTAAATTTCTAAACACACACAGTGTACACACTCGCGCATCATCTAATTTGATTAATGCTTCCTGATTTACAGTTGATAATTACTTGCCAATTTCAATAGAAAACATGGTGCAAAATATTTTTACTTGTAGTTTTGCTATTTTCTTTATTTGCGGCGTATTACCATGGTTTTCAATACCGTTGGTTCTATTTGGTGCGCTATTCTTCTTTGTTAGTAAATTATTTAGGTAAGTTATTCTCAATTATTTGCATACTTTATTTATAATTCATGTCAATTTTACTTTATATTTCTCCTATTTCAGAATAGGAATGAGGGATTTGAAGAGAATGGAGAACGTCTCACGATCTCCGGTTTTGAGTTTCGTTACAACAACGATCCAAGGTTTGAGCACGATTCACGCATTTCAAAAGGAGAAGAATTTTTTATATAAGTAATTATTGGAGCGAAATGTTAAATCATATAATATCAAAATACAAGAGAACAATATGACAACTGAATTGTTTCTCACTGACAGATTCGAGGAGTTATTTAATACGAATAATGTGTGTCAGTATTTATGCCAAGCCGCGATGAGATGGTCTGCTGTACGATTGGACAGTTTGGTAATCGCCTCGTCTTGCATAACCGCATTACTTGTGATTTCATTTAAAAATGAAATATCGCCGGCCTTTGCCGGTTTGGCTATGGCGTATGCCACACAGATGACTGGCGTTTTCCAATACACAGTTAGACTAATGTCTGAGACGGAGGTGCGCTTTATAAGCGTAGAGAGAATCGGTTACTATCTAAAGGTAATTTATTTCTTTTAATTATTAATTTTGTAAATGTATAATTGTTAATTTTTGTGATTTTTATCGCAGAACTATTGTTTCTACTACAGTCTCTTATTATTTATATCTTATTTAGACCTTGCAGAAGGAAGGTGCGAGCAAACCAGTTGCTTTTAAACCAGCCGATGATTGGCCTTCTCGTGGCAAAATAGAATTTAAGGATGTTCAAATGAGATACAGAAAAGAACTGCCGCTCATACTAATCGACATCTCTTTTAGCATAAAGCCCGGAGAGAAAATTGGTAATGGCTAAAGTTTCCCTAACGCGTTTGTCACGTTTTTTCACGAAGAAGTCAACTATGAATTATTTTAGGCATTGTGGGTCGCACGGCATCCGGCAAAAGTTCCTTAATTGTAGCTTTATTCCGGTTAGTTGAAATTTGCGAAGGTGTTATTAAGATCGATGATATCGATATTTCAAAATTGGAATTGAATGTATTAAGAAGTAAATTATCGATTATTCCTCAGGATCCGGTCTTATTCAGCGGAACTATAAGGTAATAAGGTAATTGATGATTTTTTTCTGCTATTCTATTCAACCAATTTGCTTTTCTAGATCTAATTTGGATCCCTTCCAATGTCATGTCGATGACGATATTTGGCGTGCCCTTGAAAAGACTCAGATGAAAAAAAAAGTGTCTCTTATGTCGGGATGTCTTGACGCTTCCGTTGGTTTTGGTGGAAATAATTTGAGTGTCGGTGAGAGACAGCTTCTTTGTCTTTCAAGAGCTTTATTACACAGTACAAAGGTAATGTATTAACTATCCATAATTTTTGCAACATTACATGTATTGAGATTGGTTTTCAAATTTTTAGAATATTACTTTTAAGATTTTTAATAGCTATCTTGAAACGCCTTTATAGATTTTGATTTTGGACGAAGCCACGGCTGCAGTCGACCCAGAAACTGAAGCAACAGTACAGAATACATTGCAGAAAGAATTCGCGGATTGCACTGTACTTACAATTGCTCATCGATTACAAACGGTTCTCAATTGTGATCGTATTCTTATCATGAGTGAGGGCAAAGTTATCGAATTTGACGCGCCCGATACACTTCTGTCTCGTCCAGACTCTGAATTTTCAAAATTAATGGCCGCTGTGGACAAAAACGTTTAAAATAATCTTTGTAGAGATCTGAACCGATTGCATTAATCACATTTTAACAATAAATAATGAAACTAAACAAACAACTCTCACAATCATGTGAGTAAATAAAAAAAAAACAAATGCAAAGTATATATTACCAAAATACAAAATAAAATATGAATCAAGATATAAACTATAAATTTTTATAATTAAGCGAATTAATAAATTATTAGTTAAGACTATTACTTTATAAGTTCATATCTTGTACAAATAAAAACGAGAAACAAAATCTTCCCATCTTCATCATATTTACTTTATCCTTTGATAGCAATTAATCTTATCTAATAACTTAATTATTGTTGTAGATTGTATTAGTTAGATTGTATATAATTTTTATGTATGCTAAAAATTAATAGGAATTTTACATCAACAAATCAACATGCAAGCCATCAGGATATTGTTGATAATATCTATTCTATAGCCTATAACGATGCAATAACTTATTTAATCAAACATAAATATTTTTGAGGAGACAAATTACTAATTATATTAAAATTATATTAAAAATCACAATTTGTGGAAACTCGCGCGCTTTGGAATAGTGAAATATTGATTTTCTCAAGAGGTGGAGAACGTACACTGCTCATGCCCGTTCGCTCAGACTTTCGGCCGTGCTGGCGACACGGCCGAAACATGTTTGCCTCGACATTGCCAGCTTGTTATTACTTCTGAGATGTTTATTACATGTTGAGCTTTACTGTTGCTTTATACCGAGATGTAGTCTATAGAAATTGCCGTAAAGGCAGCGTCTGTCTTTCCGTAAACAGCTAAAAGAAAGGTAAATTTTTTAGCAATGCACGAACAACATGCCGATTTTCGTAAACATAAATTTCAATAAATTAGATTTCTTTTTTACCATAATTCCTTTATATTATTTTATATAATTCTTCAAAGACATTGATAATTTAAAAAATAAATTATTTTTTATATATATTGTAATACCCATCTCATTCTTTATGTAAAAATATTACTAAAAATTTAATATTTATTAAATTATTGTGTAAAACTTGAAATTTGATGTATATAGAACGTATTAATTTAACTAATACACGTATTTTAAGAAATTGATGGAATGTGATAATATGTGTCATCGAACATATAAACAGCGAGAACAAACTGATAATTATCCAGTCAATAATTTAATTCTTAATAATTGTTTTTATAAATGACATGTCTAATTTTAATAAAAATGTTCGCTACTTTCAGGCCTCACAATTGCGAATATAATCCCTATTATGATGTTGGGGCGGAAGCAGAGCCTCAAGGGGGAACCCGTCCTGGCCGATTACGGTCCGGAAGAGTCCCTCAATGAGAGCGCTGACATAGAATGGGTCAACAAGGTGAGCGGAAATACGAATCAATTGAGAGAAGAATGAAAAATTAATTGCAAATCCTAAAGGTCTTTTTCTCGGATCTTTTCTTTGAAGACTGCTTTATATGATTTCAGTTATGGGTGAGGAGATTGATGCGATTTTGTGCCCTGGTCTCGTTGGCTTCCGTTTGCTTGAACACTCCGAAAACCTTTGAGAAAGTACCGGCCCTTCAATATGTTACCTTTATTTGCGATTTGATAGTCACGTTTCTGTTTACCGCGGAAATGATTGCCAAAATGCACATACGAGGAATATTGAAGGTAAAGTTTCATCAAAGAAGATTTAATCGTGAATGCCTGGAAGAACAATTAAGATTTTTTATTATGATACTAAGAATGAAAAATAAAATTTCTATGCAATTGTATGCTCTTTAACACGAAACAAATTATTATTGCAGAGAGATAAGTCTTACTTGAAGGATCATTGGTGCCAATTCGACGCGAGTATGGTGATCTTCCTGTGGCTGTCTGTGATTTTGCAAATGTTCGAGATGCTGGGTTTTCTCGTAAAATTTAGTTACGCTTCGATTATGCGTGCACCACGCCCACTAATCATGATACGCTTCCTCCGAGTCTTCCTCAAGTTTTCAATGCCCAAAGCTAGAATCAATCAAATTTTCAAGTAAGAAAATAACATAAGAGATTTGTGTCGTTTAAAAATCAAAATAAAAAAATTACAGCAGTTATTTAATCTATTTAATTTGATCGATTATTAATCATATAATTTGTATTTAGACGTTCGAGTCAGCAGATCTACAACGTGACGCTTTTTTTCCTTTTCTTCATGTCCCTTTATGGTCTCTTGGGCGTGCAATTCTTCGGCGAATTGAAAAATCATTGCGTTCTGAATACAACTCAGCCCGATCACATTACGATCAACAGCCTGGCTATTCCCGACACATTCTGCTCTACCGATCCAGAATCCGGGTATCAATGTCCCGAAGGAATGATCTGCATGAAGTTGGAGTTGACCAAATATATTATAGGCTTCAATGGATTTGATGAGTTCGGTAGTAGTTAATGTTACTATACTTCTGTCATCTCTTTATACATATGTTATTTCAAATTTATTCTATATCATCTTTGTAAAAATATTGTAAAAGTAATTTTATTTATCTATCATCTTACGACACATTCTTCTACATCTTGTACTGTGAGTTTAACTTTTACAGATATTCTTAAACAATATGATTATTATAATAGTTTTAAAAATATAATAAAATTACAAATTAATTTGTTTATTTGCATTGCAATTTTTTCAAAATAAGATTTTTGTATAAATATTTTATTTAAACCTTGTTGGGAATTTTAATAATTATTTAATAATTAAAATATTAAAATCTGCAAGTAATGTTTGAAATATTTGATTTTGAATTGGGATTGTTTAGCCACAAGTATCTTCACTGTATATCAAGCGGCTTCTCAGGAAGGATGGGTTTTCATTATGTATCGTGCGATTGATAGTCTACCAGCGTGGCGTGCAGTTCTTTACTTCAGCACAATGATATTCTTTCTGGCGTGGTTAGTAAAAAACGTCTTCATTGCCGTAATCACGGAAACTTTCAACGAAATTCGAGTGCAATTCCAACAAATGTGGGGCGTCAGGGGTCACATCAGCAACAGTTCTGCATCGCAGGTCAGTATAAAAAAAATCTTTAAAGAAATATGCTTTATTTTATTAAAGTATTTTCAAGAATATGTAAATATTATTTAAAATTAATTAAATTTAAAATTAATTATAGACGATCATTGATTTGATTGAATATTTATAATTAGTACATATATTATTTTTATTAATTATTTTATTATTTATGCAGATATTGACCGGAGACGACAATGGTTGGAAATTAGTGACATTAGATGAGAATAAGCATGGCGGTCTAGCTTCTCCGGTTTGTCACTCCATCCTTAGATCACCGTATTTTCGCACGGTGGTAATGTGCGCGATTCTGGCGAATGGTGTCACTACAGCAACGATGAGCTTCAAGCATGATGAAAAACCGAGGCACACGTACTACAACAATTATTACTGGGCCGAGATCGTCTTCACGATATTGTTGGATCTAGAGACTCTCTTCAAGATATGGTGCCTGGGCTTTCGGAGTTATTATAAGCATTCGATTCATAAGTTCGAACTGCTACTTGCCATTGGCACGACTATACACATTATTCCGTTCTTCTATCTCTCTGGATTCACTTACTTTCAGGTTTCTACCTTTGTCTGACCTCGTCTTTCACATTATTTTATTTCTACATTTCTTTTTTCTACAAACCTATGCTTTTTTTATTTATTGTTTGCGCGTTTAAACTCTCAGCTTGTTTTTTTATATTTCTAAAGATTTAAATATTTAAACAATAAAAGACTTAATTTGCTGTATTTTTATTCGAAAAGGTTCTCAGAGTAGTCCGGCTCATTAAAGCGTCACCGATGTTGGAAGACTTTGTCTATAAAATTTTCGGCCCTGGCAAGAAGCTCGGCAGTCTTATTATTTTTACCATGTGCCTGCTGGTAATATCGTCCAGTATTTCCATGCAACTCTTTTGTTTCCTTTGCGATTTCACCAAATTTGAAACCTTTCCCGAGGTGAGTCATTTATATTTTAATAAATCGTTACACAATTGTTTCGACTCGGATTGTAAAAGCATATGTTTTGCAGGCGTTTATGTCAATGTTCCAAATTCTCACGCAAGAGGCTTGGGTGGATGTAATGGATGAAACTATGTTACGAACCCACGAGACAGTAGCACCGTTGGTTGCAGTATATTTTATTTTGTATCATCTTTTTGTTACGCTGGTAATCATCGCATAACATTACTTTTACAAATTATGATAATAATTAATTAATGTTTAATTATTTTTTCAGATTGTGTTGAGTCTTTTCGTCGCAGTGATTCTTGACAATCTTGAGCTGGATGAAGACATCAAGAAATTAAAACAATTGAAATTTCGCGAACAAAGTGCCGAGATAAAAGAAAGCTTGCCATTCAGACTAAGAATTTTCGAAAAATTTCCAGATAGTCCGCAAATGACATGTCTTCATAAAGTACCGTCAGATTTCAATTTGCCGAAGGTTAATATTCGTAAATAACTATTTTTAATTTATTACTACTTTAATAAATCGTAATTAACATTGTATCATTTTATTTAAATATAAATATTTAATGTATTTATATTTAAATATAAATATTTTGACAGTTATAATTTTCTTGAAAATTTCCGATTTCTTACATCTTCGAGATTGTAAAAAAATCTGCTTTATTATTCAACAGATTGAATTAATATTCGATGTTTTTTTTTAAGGTGCGCGAAAGCTTTATGCGACAATTCGTGCTCGAGGTGGAAGACGAGGAAAATGAAGGTGCAAAGAGAACGAACGAAACTTTTGATTCGAAAATGGTATATAGGAAACAACGCCCAGTGAAGATCTTGAACAATCCACCGAAAGTGAGAAGCGTTGTTACTAATCTGAAGAAAGCAGCTGTTATTTATATTATAAAGTAAGTAAAGAATTATTCGCTTTTATTTCTTAAAGCTTCCAACTTGGATTTAAATCTGTGTGTTTATAGCGACTCCAATAATCAGAGGCTTCTCTTGGGAGATTCCGCTATGATTCCAGTGCCGGGAAAAGGACTTTTGAAACCGCAGGGTACTGTCAGCAGCACCAAGCAGCTTCGCATTGATCCGAAAAAGTAAGACTAGGATTTAGGATAGGATTAGAAGAAAAAGATTTACTAATAAAAGAATATAGAGAGAATTTGAATGTATAAGTTTGAACAACATTTTAAAGATTCAATAGTATTACGCGATTCTTTTTTCAAGCATTATTAAATTTCCCTATTTTTAAGATCATAAAGATATCGATTATTTTATGTGTTTACATTTATTTATCTTATATTTCCATTTATTTGCGAAAACAGATCAATCAGAAGAAGCGTCCGAAGTGGATCGATTAAACTTAAACAGACGTACGAACATCTCATGGAAAACGGTGACATAGGTGGAATAAATAGAGTTAGTTCATCGCGCAGCAGACCACACGATTTAGATATCAAGTTGTTACAAGCTAAGAGACAACAGGCGGAGATGCGAAGGTAAGAGTGTGTCACGCTACGATTTCTAGAATTTTCTCTATAATTTTACACAATTCTCTTTCTACTTTCATCCTAGAAACCAACGCGAAGATGATCTGCGAGAAAATCATCCATTCTTCGACACGCCGTTATTTGCAGTACCTCGGGAAAGCAAATTCCGAAAGTATTGTCAGCTGTTTGTCTACGCAAGATATGATGCGAGACTGAAAGATCCTTTGACAGGCAAGGAAAGAAAAGTGCAATATAAGAGTCTGCAGTAAGCATCGTGCGATTAAAACATATCGTCTTATTGACGTAAAGCAAAGTGATCAACTTGATTTTCTGTTTTTTCTTTCAGCAACTTCCTCGGTTTAGTGACCTATCTCGATTGGGTGATGATATTCATTACGACGTTATCGTGCATCTCGATGATGTTTGAGACTCCGCGATATCGCGTGATGGAGACGCCGGCATTGCAGATCACTGAATACTGCTTTGTTATTTGTATGAGTATTGAACTGGCGTTGAAAATTCTGGCGGATGGTCTGTTCTTCACACCTAAGGCTTATATCAAGGACGTTGCCTCTGTGCTGGATGTCTTCATTTATATTGTATGACTAAAATATTAAAACAAATCAAATTTTATCAAATTTTGCTTTTGTTATAAAATATTTCGTTTAATTAATAAATTAATAAGTTAAATAACAAGAGTTTTAATAATTATATGATATTGGAACATTATATGAATTACAATGGTAAATCATAATAAATAATTATAGTATTTTAATAATTCTATTCATGTAATAAAACAATATATATGTTGTTGTAGGTAAGTCTTGTATTTTTATGTTGGATGCCGAAGAGCGTGCCGCCGAATTCTGGAGCGCAATTGCTGATGATATTACGATGCGTCAGGCCGTTAAGAATCTTCACCCTTGTGCCGCACATGAGGAAGGTCGTTTATGAACTATGCAGAGGATTCAAGGAAATTTTACTGGTATTCTTCTTTCTTTTTAAATAGTATATTATTTCTGCAATCAACCCGTAAATGACATGGACGTATGAAATAATTTAACAACAAATAATATTTTATACAGGTATCGACATTATTGATTCTGTTGATGTTCGTGTTTGCGAGTTATGGTGTGCAACTGTACGGCGGTCGATTAGCGAGATGCAACGATCCTACTATCTTGAAACGCGAGGATTGTGTCGGTGTATTTATGAGAAGAGTATTCGTAACAAAGATGAAGCTACGGCCCGCGAAAAACGAGAGCTATCCGTCCATATTGGTACCACGTGTATGGTAAGCATAAGTCTTTAGCTCTAAGATTTTTTTACGCAATTTATTATATTTTATTATGAATATTTTTTAAGGAAGCAATGCTTATATTTGTTGCATTAATTTTATAATACTTTTTAGGGCTAATCCTAAAAGATTCAATTTTGATAATATTGGCGACGCTATGATGGCTCTGTTCGAAGTGCTTTCTTTTAAAGGTTGGCTTGATGTACGGGATGTTCTTATCAAGGCTCTTGGTCCGGTGAGTCATCATCTTTTCAATAGCGTGTAAAAAATTACAAAATTCAAGATTTTTAAATAAAATTTCAAAATTTTTAAAATATTATTTTTTTAAATATTATTTCCATTTTATTTCCTTTAATATCATATTATATTTTTCTTTTCAGCTTCACGCAATCTATATACACATTTATATTTTCCTCGGTTGCATGATTGGCTTGACATTGTTTGTGGGTGTTGTAATCGCGAATTATTCTGAAAACAAAGGCACTGCTTTGCTCACGGTTGATCAACGACGATGGTGAGATATTGTGTATTTCAATTGCGATATCTATCACAATCTATATGTTGAATATTATTGCATATTGGGATTATTATTGCAGGTGCGATTTGAAGAAACGTTTGAAGATCGCTCAGCCACTACACTTACCGCCTAGACCGGACGGTAAGAAGTTTCGGGCTTTCATCTATGACATCACGCAGAATATTTATTTCAAAAGATTCATTGCCGTCATGGTGCTCGTAAACAGCGCTCTACTATGTGTTTCTGTGAGTTGAATAAAATAATCTTTAGATATAAATATGTGAAGCTTAATATAGTAATATTTAATCAAAAATAAAAAATTTAAAGAACTCCTAGAAAAGAAAAGCCGCAACACGACTGAAACTATTATCTTGAATCATTTGTTCCTTGGCATGCGATAAAGGCAAGCGTGACATATTTGTACATATTTAATCTGCTGTCTTTTCTTTGTTTTTCTCTTGCTCATCTGAAGTGGAGAATCGAGGAAGAACACACGGAAGCTTTGGCTACAGTCTCCACAATTCTGACATTGGTTTTCCTCGTAGAAGTAATTATGAAGAATATTGCTTTTACACCACGTGGCTATTGGCAATCCAGAAGAAACAGATATGATTTGCTCGTAACAGTCGTAGGTGTTATTTGGATCGTTATACATTGTACGATGAAAGTAAGTTTATCATCAAGAATTTCTTTTATCATACTTTTCCTATCATTTATCGTTCACCATTATGCTTTACTATGTTGCTTTCAGAACGATCTATCCTACGTGATAGGATTTATGGTCGTAATCCTCAGATTTTTCACCATCACTGGCAAACACACCACTCTCAAGATGCTGATGCTGACGGTCGGCGTATCCGTCTGTAAAAGTTTCTTCATCATATTCGGCATGTTTCTTCTTGTCTTCTTCTACGCGTTAGCTGGCACCATCATTTTCGGCACGGTGAAATATGGGGAAGGCATTGGCAGGTGAGGAGAATACAAAATTCGTGAAATTTTAAGACGTAAAAATATATAAAAAAACATACGCAATGTGTAATACGGATTTTCTTCAATAGTATTAAATTTTTCTTCCTTTCTACGATATTTATTTATCTTGCTCTATCTCCGCCTGGTATATTAGAAGTAATCTCTTTGTGATTTAGACGCGCTAATTTCGAATCACCGGTTACTGGCGTGGCGATGCTCTTCCGCATAGTGACGGGGGAGGATTGGAACAAAATTATGCACGACTGCATGATACAACCACCTTATTGCACGCCGGCGGATAATTACTGGGAAACTGACTGTGGCAATTTTCACGCTTCTCTCATTTATTTTTGCACCTTTTATGTCATCATCACTTATATCGTCTTAAATCTTTTAGTGGGTATGTATGCGATAATATACTTATCCATCAAAAAAAGCATTAAAATGATATAGATTATATTAAAAATTGCAATTGTTTTTTTCTTTTGCCATTCGATTTTTTGCTTCAATCGATGGCAAATATATATATATATATATATATATATATATATTTATTTATTTATTTTAATTATATTTATAATAAATAACTAATTAAGAACAGATAATGTTTTTTTCGTATAGTATTATCATGGAGTAACTTTTCTCTATTCTATTCAAATGAAGAGGATGCATTATTATCGTACGCTGACATAAGGAATTTCCAGAATACGTGGAATGTCGTTGATAATCATCAGAAAGGTGTTATACCAGTGAAGAGGGTACGATACAATCTTAAATCATATTCAATATTCTGGTTTATATTGATCGAATGTGTGAACAATCTGTAAAAAATAAATGCTGATATTAATATATTTTAGGTGAAGTTTATTTTGCGGTTGTTAAAAGGCAGATTAGAAACTGATCCACAGAAAGATCGTCTGCTCTTTAAATACATGTGCTATGAACTCGAACGATTGCACAATGGCGAAGACGTTACTTTCCATGATGTTATCAAGTAAGTTCTATGAAATAGATTGTAAACGAAATATCTAATTTAATTCTCGACATCTTCCTAAGTTAAAGAATTTTTTAGTATGTTATCTTACCGCTCGGTGGATATAAGGAAAGCGCTTCAATTGGAGGAACTTCTTGCACGGGAAGAATTCGAATACATAATCGAAGAAGAAGTGGCTAAGCAGACAATCAGAACTTGGTTACAAGGCTGTTTGAAGAAAATACGAGCGGTAAGGATAATTTGATTTCACATTAAAGAGATAATCATTAAAGAGATAATAATCATTTCATTTTTTCTTGCAGAAGCAACAAAATAGTCTTATCGCCGGGTTACGTGCTACAAATAACGCAGCTGCGCCGCCTCAAGATGTAGAGAAGGGTAAAGAAGAGAAAGGAAAGGAAGTTAGTATCGATCGTGAAGAAGAGATTGAAACAAAGGTGTGTTTTATTACATTTGCGTCTCATTGCAAATTCTCTCAATATTAACATCTATTTTTTATAGATGTTGAGAATAAAAATATTGAAACATTTTTATATCTATTAGTTATTCAAGGATGTAAAACATTATTTTTACTTAAAAAATTTTGTACTTGTAGAATTTATAGTATCATTACGGCTGAAAAATAGTAATAAAAATTATATAATAATTTAATGACAAAATTTAAGTTATTTTTTTGTCTTTTTAACTATTAGGACATCGAAGCTCCAAAATACAGGACCAAGAAACCCATGGTGCTTCCAAGATCGGACAGTATAGGAAGTGCTTCGGGAAGAAAGTATCTAGCACCAACCTTGTCGGATCCTGCATCCGTTCGAACCGAGAAAGAAAAGATCGCAGCATCAAAGAAGAGGAATAGTAGACAGCCATGTAAGTGATTAAGCTATTAATACTCCTTGATATCGAGTTGTTTTGGACTATTTTTTGCAGCACTAGTAAAAAATAATTTACACCATCTGACGGATAATACGGAGCAAAGTAGACAGCAGAGAGAGGCGTTGAACAACAAAACAACCGCGCCTAAAGTCTCCAGCGTCATGCTGGAGGTTCGAGAATGGTGGAAGGAGCAATTAGCTTACAGCAGCGAATCCAGCGAGGATGAACTCTGAATTGTTCGAAGTAAACAATTATGATTCAATTTGTAGATTGCAAAGTGAGGATTCCTATTTTTAACAGACGTAAAAAACGAATTCTCAGCCTAAGGATTTTGCATCCAGCGAGGAAAAAGATCTGACGAATGTGGTATGTGCCTAATAATTTTAATCGCCATCCCTCCCCATCCCTTTCTCCTAAGCTCGAAGAACTTTAACGCGTTGAGCTTCGATCATAATTCGTTGCTTTCACTGCTAAGAATTATATTAATATTTTGCTATGCCAAGGCAGTGTGCACAGAGCGAGCTAAACGTTAAATTTTTCATTATACGTTTATGAAGCTCATCGTGTTAGAAGAATCGATTTTCTACCGGAGAGATTATTATTATTATCGAAATACATACGAACACACATATACGTACACTCGCATTTCGTATAAAACTCGGGACATCACTGCCGTGTATCAAACCGATCGTCCATACGTAAATGCTTAATATCCTTGACCATCAGTTTGTTAAAAGATTTCGATGTATGTGTTGATGGGGAATTTTATGTACGTCTTTCACGTACTGTCATTCTTACATCATCCAGCTATTTTTTAAAACATCTCGAAGTAACTGTAGCAAATTTTGTACAATACGATGTTGATTATCACGCGAGTAATAGCTAGAATTGATTATGGTGTTACTAAGGGCAACTGTGAGTACAATTAGTATAGAACACGATTCGTCGTAGATATTTTTGTCGTGAAGAGAATATTGATTCTGTGTAAAAACAATGTTAGAACGTTGCAGATCATCGATTTTTTTCCTTCTTAACAAGAATATATCCTGAAGACCTAGTATTGTAGATCTACGTGATTGATTTGATATTGACAGTTGTAAAGTTTTAGCGCGCAACCGTTGATGTTATATTATCTTTGTTATTAATTAGCAGTAACGTTGTTACGGGTGTAGCTTCAGTGAGAAGAGATGTCTGTGCAGTTGCATGTTACCTGTCGGATGATGTAACTTATTTTGAAATGCGACTGCATGGATTCTCCATAACGTGTATGTTGAGCATACGAGAGATAAAGAAAAATGAGAATTTATATTAAATATAAACGATTGTCGTATGTTTTTATAACGAGACGACGTGCGAATACGTCAAATAAATTTGTGAGACGATCTTTTTTGGCGGAAACGCGATCGATGTTAGCGCAATAATACGCATACGCACACACGCACGATAAAATGTTATGCATATATATATATATATATATATATATATATATATATATGA